GGGCCATGTGCGAGCGCCGCAGGGAGGCGGGCGGGAGCGGGCTCGAGGCGAGGTGCGGCCCGGGCTGGCCCTGTTCACGGTCGGGACCGGGTCGAGAGCCAGACGGGCCAGGGTCTGGACGGGATCCGCATCCAGGTCTCAGTGTGCCGGCCTGGGGCAGGGTCCGCCTCGGGTTCGGGCTGCAGGTCCTGGCAGGGCCAGGCTTGGGCTGCGACCCTGTCCCGGCGCAGGTTCGACCCGGCACCTGAGCGTGCCGAAGTCCTGGAGGCGGGCCGGGCTGGAGGATGCGGCGGGTTTCCCGTTGAGGAAGGGGCTTTGAAGACCACGTGGGGGCGCTCGAAGAGGCCTTGGGCCACCCTCCTCTCTGGGTCAAAGGTCACAGCACCGGCAGGGGAGAACTTCCTCCTCCTTGGCGCTCCCCATTCACTTCCTGATAACCTGATAGAGGTCTCCCGGGGCGAAGGGGGAGGGGAGGAATAGCAACTTTGGGCAACTTCCCGTAGGTGTGCGCAGGTTGGGGGGGGCGGGGCGCCCCGGAGGTAGAGGACTCTGCGGCAGCTGGAGAGTAAGATTGAATGTGCTGGCGGGGGAGAGGGAGGGAGGGGGTGCAGGGAGGTGGAGCCGCGCGGGCTGCCCGCCGGGGTGCCTGGGATCGGGCATGCTGGGGCAGGTGGGGGCAGTGTGTCAGGTGTGGACAGCTCTGAATGTGCTGCCCCCAAGGGCCTGTGTGTGTTGCGGGGGCCTGGGGAGAGTGCAAGAATGTGAGAGTTGATGTGGTTATAAGCCTTGCGTGTGACTGTCTCTGGGGTGTGCGCTTCGGGAGGAGTGTACCAGTGGGAAGACCAGTGGGAACAGGAGTGGAAACCGCAGTGTGAGGGTGTGAACACACGTGTGAGCACACCAACTGCCCTTGGGTTGGGGTGCCTCTGGGCTCTTGAATGGAGGATCCCCAGGGGAGGGGGAAGCACCAGATCCTCGACATTTGGAGAAACCTGGAGAAGTTTTGGTTTCCAACTGGGAATTCTGGGTAGGGTTGAAGGTTACTCAGGGGCAAAGGTTACCCTGCTCCCTGCTCTGGGTGTGAGCAGAGGGTTTCCAAGCCTTGCCAGGGACTCCCAAGTGGGAGATCTGCAGTCAGTTATTGGCCCTGGAGGCCCTGGAGATCTGTTCCCATGGCAACAGCAGGGGGCCCCTCTTTATGGGCAGCCCTTTCTTGGACTCTGTCCCCCCCTCCTGGCCTTTGCTGAGCCTGGAACCCTGGCCCCAGGCCTGGGGTTGCGCAGCCAGGGTGGCAGGGTGGTTCTCCCCCCCCCACCGCACACTGCTTCCCTGTGACCTGCCGGGTCTCTTCCCACAGGTGACCAGCGTCATGTCCAGCCAGGTGGTGGGCATTGAGCCACTCTACATCAAGGCAGAGCCAGCCAGCCCCGACAGTCCGAAGGGTTCCTCGGAGACTGAGCCCGAGCCTCCTGTGGCCCTGGCCCCTGGCCCTGCACCCACCCGCTGCCTCCCCGGCCACAAGGAGGAGGAGGATGGGGAGGGGGCTGGGCCTGGCGAGCAGGGTGGGGGGAAGCTGGTGCTCAGCTCCCTGCCCAAACGCCTCTGCCTGGTCTGTGGGGACGTGGCCTCCGGCTACCATTATGGTGTGGCATCCTGTGAGGCCTGCAAAGCTTTCTTCAAGAGGACCATCCAGGGTGAGCCCCCACTCCACTCAGGTGCCCTTTGCTCTCTGGCCTGGTGCTGAGATGCCCATTGGGTGCACTGCTGGGTGGCTGCAGGCCCGGGACTGCCAAGGTACCACTGGGGTGGGAAGCTGGTATTCCCCGGCCCTCCTGCTTCCCAGCGTGCCCTTCCCTTCCACGTTAAAGTCTCCAGGGTGTGTGGATGGATAGGACGGGGGATGTGAGTGAGAACTTGGGGTGCCCCTGGGGTTTCTGGATACTGTAGATTTAGCCCCTTCCACAGTGACTCAAGGAAAGCTCCTGGCAGCCTCTGGCTGCTCCGAAATTTTGTTCTTGCTTCTGGCAGTTTCTGACCTTTCACCAGGTAGAAGCCAGCTTTCCCTTTGTGTTGATTTCTCCGAAGTACCAGCCTGGGGCATGTTTTCATAACTAACAGAAAGGGGCTTTTATCAATTATATTTCAGCCTCTAACTTTAAAAAGACTTAACAGGTGCCCCTATTTGCAGCATTTATTACTTTTTTCTTACTTGAGCTAGCTGAGGTCAGCTCAGGCCACTGGGGACATGGCTGTTACTGTTTTTTGCGGCCCTCTGGTTACTTTGGGGCTATCACCTGCATGACTTTTGGAAAATATTTCTTGCGTGTTTTCCCTGTACTTGGCACTGTGCCCTTTTATGATCTCATGATCTCAGTTCCTCCATGGCAGCCTAGAAAGTGCCCACCCTCAACCAACTTGAGGCCAGAGGAGTTTGGGAGACTTTGTTAGAAAATGGCAGATTCAGGGCTCTGAACTTGGAAATGCCCCAGCGCTTCCTGCACTTCTTACTAACAGCTGAACTTCGGTCAGATGCCTCACGAAGGATTGTGACACTCTGGCGAGGCCTGACCTGGCGAGACCCACGGGCCTGCCCCGCTCCCTGCTCCCCCAGGGAGCCAGCAGGTCTGGGGCCGGTGTCTTCGGCCCACCCTTGAACCCTTCACCCTCTGTTGACTCAGTTGCCAAGTATTTCTGGAGCACCGGTGTGGGGTAGTTACCATTAATAGAGCTCGCGGTGCCGTGAGCCGTGCTGAACGTTTGCCTCAGTTATGCCTTGCAGTGCTTGCAACCACCTTTGTAAAGAGGAGTTTTTATCATCCCGTTTTTACAGGTGGGAAAACTGAGGGTTTGAGAGCCTAGGTCTGGGACTCGCCTCAAGCGATTTATGCTGTAGCAGAGGGGAGAGGGAGGAAGCAACTCTTCACATAGAATGATTATATTGCGAGTGGAATGATTATATTGAGAGTGGCCTGAGGGGGTGGGTGGGGGGGCTGTGGCTCTGGAGGGCTTCCCTGAGGAGGTGTCTGAGCTGAGCACATAAGCCTGAGTAGGGTGAGGAGAATGCACTTGGGTGCTGGCGACTGATTGTGGCTTGCAGTTTCTGGGGTAACCCAGCCTGCCTGGGCTGGGGGAGAGCACTGTGCATTCACTTAGTGACTTCAGGCACCCACTGGGTACCATGCCCTGGTGGCATATTTGATGGTACTGTGGACGAGACACCAGCAGGCAGTGGCAGAAGTCTGGCGATGTCTGCAGAAGATGGGTAGGCAAGGCAGGCCTCCCCGGGTGACGCCAAAGAGCTGAGCAATAAGGGGGTGGCATGTCCTAAGTCAGGGCCTGTTGGAGGAGCCCGGAGGAAGCCAGTGGAGGCCCCCCCCCCCCCCCCCGTGGCAGAGTACATGGGACATGGGGGAGGAGCTGGGAAAGAGGGCAGCAGCAGGGGAGGCCTCACAGGCTACAGGGGGTTCACTCTGAGCAGGGAAGCAGGGGAGTGACAGGGCAGACCATGGTCAGTAGGCCTCTCTGCCCGTGTGTTGAGAACTGGAGGAGGCAAGGTGGGGGGAGGGGGCGGAGCGCCAGGGCTAGTGTTAGACAGTGGGGGGCACCTGAGTGAGTAGGAGGTGAAGCCCACCAGGATTTGTCAGCAGCGGGGGTCCGCTGTGAAAGGAATCAGGTCTGCTACATTTCTGCTGGGCACCGGGGCAAGTGGTGTTGCACTCTGGGGGGGTAGATGAAGGCTCCACTTGGGGGGCATCAGGCACCCCGAGGCAGTGCTGGGTTCTTCAGGGGAAGGAGCTCAGAGATGCGCGGAAACCAGAGGTGAAGGGGGACGCCAGGAGGCTTAGAAGCAAAAGCCGAGAGTTTCTAGAAGAGGGTGATTGACCTCTGCGGTGCCCCTTTGGGGTGACTGAGATGAGAATTGAGCATGGCACGTAGCACACAGTACTTACATGCCTGGGAGGAGGCTACAGCCCGGGGGCGTGGTTTGACGAGTGCAGCCTGGCCCCCTGGTCCCAGCCCCCCCCCCCACTGCCCACTCACGCACTCCTGCTCTCCGCAGACCAGTGCTTGCCCGGGTCGAGTCAGGGCTCCCTTGTCCACTGGGCCCCCAGCAGGCCCTGCGAGGCCGCCACTGGAGCCCTGCCTCTTCCTGGCAGGGAGCATCGAGTACAGCTGCCCGGCCTCCAACGAGTGTGAGATCACCAAGCGGAGACGCAAGGCCTGCCAGGCCTGCCGCTTCACCAAGTGCCTGCGGGTGGGCATGCTCAAGGAGGGTGAGCACAGGCTGGGGCTCGGGTGGGCAAGCCTGGGAAGTCCTGGTGGGGCGGGCTGGGCAGCAGGGCTCGGCAGAGGCAGCCTCCCCTAGTGCCGCAGACACAGGCCTGTCCTCTGATTTAAGGGGTGCGTCTGGACCGTGTCCGGGGTGGGCGGCAGAAGTACAAGCGGCGGCCAGAGGTGGATCCACTGCCCTTCTCAGGCCCCTTCCCTGCTGGGCCCCTAGCAGTGGCAGGAGGCCCTAGGAAGACAGGTAAGATCACTGGGGCTGTGGACCTCCAGGGCTGGGGTGGGCCTGGGGCACGGGCCTATGAGGCACCATCCTGAGGATGTCGTTATTTTGTGTACTGGGACCCAGGTTTTCTTTCTCGTTCTCCCAATTCTGCCTTAGGCCCTGAGAAAAGGGAAGGGCTTGCTAATGACCAGAACCTGTCTCCTCACAGAGCAGGGGACAGTAAGGGTACTTCGTGGGGGAGAGGTGTTGGACACTGGCTGGCCAGTGGCCACTGAGGCCACAGGGGGCCAGCTGGGAAGGTGCTTGACCCCGAGGGGCCTGCAGAAGTGACTCTTCCAATTGTCACTGCAGCTCCGGTGAATGCACTGGTGTCCCATCTGCTGGTGGTTGAACCTGAGAAGTTGTATGCCATGCCCGACCCAGCGGGCCCTGATGGGCACCTCCCAGCTGTGGCAACCCTCTGTGATCTCTTTGACCGGGAGATCGTAGTCACCATCAGCTGGGCCAAGAGCATCCCAGGTAAAGGGCCTGGATGATGATGTGGGGCTTCCCAGAGGGGCCAGGCAGGCAGGCGCTGGCGCACTGACTCAGCCAGGTCTGCTCCCCACTGTGCCCAGGCTTCTCGTCGCTGTCGCTGTCAGACCAGATGTCAGTACTGCAGAGCGTGTGGATGGAGGTCCTGGTGTTAGGCGTGGCCCAGCGCTCACTGCCACTGCAGGACGAGCTGGCCTTTGCAGAGGACCTGGTCCTGGACGAAGAAGGGGCCAGAGCAGCTGGCCTGGGAGAACTGGGGGCGGCCCTGCTGCAGCTGGTGCGGCGACTGCAGGCCCTGCGGCTGGAGCGAGAGGAGTACGTCTTGCTGAAGGCCCTGGCCCTGGCCAACTCAGGTGAGTCCCTAGAGGGCAATGACAGGTTAAGGGCCTCCAGTTTTAACCTTGGTGGTAGCAGTCCCATCTTGCAGTCAAGAAAAGACTTAGGGCCCTCCCTGGTGGTGAAGTGGGTTAAAGCGCAGCACTGCAAGCTAGCCGAAGCTGATTCCCTGCAAGTTCAACCCCCTGAGGTGACCCACTCTTTGCATTGGGGCAGACCTCTCCTGGCCCGCTGCTCCCCTCAGTGTACTGTCGATCGGCCTGTTCTGCTTCCTGCTCTGTCTCTGGTGAATCCTCTCACCACTCTTGCACTTCTGGCTTGTACCCAGTTCTGTATGCATAAAAAGAAAATCTTAAAAAAAAAAAAACAAAAAACTTAGGGAAGGACAGTGACTTACTTAAAAGTCACAAAGCCAGCCAAGGACAGGAAGCACATCTAAGATGTAGGGTCCTAGAGCCGTATAAAGTGGAAGGGTGAACACGTTAATGGGAGGGAGGGTGGGGAGGACAAGAGGTAGGCAGGAGCAGGGAGGGGGACCTCAGCCAGCCCATCAGCAAACCCATGTCTGGCCCCTTGTCCCCATTCTGCTGCACCAAAGTGGACAGTAGACGTGGGCTCTGCTTTTGCTTTTTGGAGCTGACTCACGTCAACAGCTCTCTCCTGTCTCCTTGCAGACTCTGTGCATATAGAAGATGCTGAGGCAGTGGAGCAGCTTCGGGAAGCTTTGCACGAGGCCCTGCTGGAGTATGAAGCTGGCCGGGCAGGCCCTGGCGGGGGTGCTGAGCGACGGCGGGCAGGCAGGCTGCTGCTCACGCTACCGCTCCTTCGCCAGACAGCGGGCAAAGTGCTGGCCCATTTCTATGGGGTGAAGCTGGAGGGCAAGGTGCCCATGCACAAGCTGTTTTTGGAGATGCTTGAGGCCATGATGGACTAAGGCAGGGGGTGGGCAAGGGTAGGGGTGCTGGCAGGACCCGCCCAGCATGGGGTCAGCCCTAAGGGGGCAGAGCTGAGGTCTGGGCAGTGCCACAGCCTGCTGGCAGGACCAGGGCAATATCATCAGTCCCTGGGAGCAGGCCCTATGCCCTCCCCTCCCCGGGGGTGTTAGAAGCTGGGAATGTGTGTGCCCACACTTGGCACAGTGCTGCCCCTAGCAAGCCATAATGTGCCCCCAGAGCACAGGGGGCCTTGCGGAAGCCATAGGGGGCTGCAGGGGACGAGTGCGGGGCAGAAGCCTGATCTCAGGGAGGGAAGGGAGTGGAGGCCAGAGTCTCCCAGTGGGTGATGCTTTTGCTGCTGCTTAATCCGACCCCCTCTCCAGAGCAGAGGGGAATGGAGAGCAAAGGCCCCTGCCCCCTTCGCTCCTCTCCTCATCATTTGCATTGGGCATTACTGCCCCCCCTTGAAGCAATAACTCCAAGCAGGCTCCAGCCCCTGGACCCCTGGGGAGGCCAGGGCCCCCCCACCCCATCAACTTCCACCCAGCCTCCTCAGGGGGCAGGGAGAGCACTGCCTCCATGCCCTGCAGAGCAATAACACTATATTTATTTTTGGGTTTGGCCAGGGAGGCGCAGGGACATGGGGCAAGTCAGGGCCCAGAGCCCTTGGCTGTACAGAGACTCTATTTTAATGTATATTTGCTGCAAAGAGAAACCGCTTTTGGTTTTGAACCTTTAATGAGAAAAAAATATAATACCGAGCTCAAGAACACTGCGTGTCTGATGTCACTGGGTCAAGGGCTGGAGATACAACAAGTAAACACGACAGACAAAAACAAGGTCACAGAAACGGTGCCTGGCACAGTTATGCCTCGGTCTCCTCATCACTCAGCAGCATGTTGGGGATCCCGCGGCTAATGGGGAACAGGCGTCCAGACTCTGGGCACTGCAAAGTGCCCTCCAAGACTTCCACCTGCGGGGAAGAAGGGAAGCAGAGCTGAGCACTGGCCACCTCGGTGCTGCAGGTCTGCGTCTGGGGAAGCGAGCGAGAGGCCGTCCTCACCTCCAGCAGCACGTGGTGCATCTGCCTCAGGAACTTCTCATCCTGCTCATAGCCCTGAACCGGGCCTTTGGGCACCTCGACCAGATGCAGCTGCGGGCAAGAGGCGTGAGTTACCCTTGGGCATCACCGCCCAGGGCCCGCGCGACGCTCGGGCCGGCGCAAGGGGCGGCGGAGAGGGCGCCCCGGGTGCGCAGGGGAGGAGGGGGTCCTCACGGTTTCGGCCGCCTCCAGAAGCGCCGCCCACTCCACCTTGGGAATCATACGCGCCACGAAGTCCGGGTTGAACTCCACAGGGTTGATGCGGACCTCGGTGGCCTGCGGGACGGGGGGTTCAGTTAGGCAGGGACCGCACCCGGGGTACCCCCTCCCACCCCGCGAAGGGGCAGAGGCCGCCGTGGACCGGTACCTGGAGGCGCAGGGGGAAGCCCCGAGGCCCCACCCCCCGCACATGCGAGCTCAGCAGGTTGTGGGTGAGCAGCTTCATGTCGGCACAGCGCGCTCTCGCCAGGCCGGAAGCGGAAGGCAGCTCGTGCGCGTCACTTCCGGGGCCGCGCCACTCTATCCTATCGGATCGCTGGGAGGAGCGGAAGCGGTGAACTTGCTGGAACATCTCCTGCCAGCCGGGGCAGAGGCGTTGGATCCGGTCCGCTCCGCTCCGCTCCCGCGCTGCTACCAGCAGCATCTGGGAACGCGGTTGCTACGGCGCAGGCCCAGTAGTTTCCGCTGCGCCAGACCGCAACTCGCCAAATCATGGTCACGATGCAGGGTCCGTTATTGAAAGCAAAAAAAATGCTTTACTCCTGTACACATCCCTCCCTTTCATTTAGGGAACGTAAATACTGCCCCAGATCTATCAACTAGTCTCGACCCAGCGGCGTCCCATCCTTGCATGCAAATAAGCTGCACGCGGCCGGAGGCCCCGCCCACTCGTGACTGCGCCAGCGGCCCCGCCCCTAATGTAAATGAGCCCGTCCCGGCTGCCCCGCCCCCGTGCCCTCCCACGCCTGCGTAGTCTGGGCGAGGCCCCGCCCCCGCGGGCTGGCGCGGTCGCTGGCGCCCCGCCTGTCGCGCAGGGGCGGAGCAGGGCCGTGGTGACTTAGGGCCCCGTCATGCTGCTGCTGGGACAGCACCTTCTGGGCGGCCGGGCGGGCACGGTATTCGCCCGGGCGGCCGTCGTTGAGTGTGCGTCGGCGGCGAGAGCGGGCGGGTACCTGAAGAGAGGCGCACTGTGGACATTTGGCGGGGTCCGCGGTTTCAGAAGCTCCGTCGCAGCCATGGCCCCTATCAAGGTGACCGCTGGCCCGGCCAGGCATGTTCCTACCTCACCCTCTGCCTGCCTCCCCGAGACCCGACTCGCTTTTCTGGGCGATTCGCCCTCCTTTCTGTCCCCGGAGCCCTGCACACCGCCGAGGCTCGTCCCGCCGGGTCCCCAGCATCCCCAGCATCCCGTGCCGGCCGCCCCAGTGCTGGGGCTTGGGGTGGGGACGCTCCAGCCGGCCTGACCCTAAGCCCGGCCCATCCCGGGAAGGGTCGTTAATTCCCGGTAGTTGGTTACCATGCCCTCCCCAGCCTTCACCGTGCTCTGCTGCCCTCTCTCCCAGCTGCATTGCCAAACTCTTGGCCATCGCGCTTCACCCCATCATCCGAAGCAATGTTGATGCACCCCTAGGTTGTCTCCCACTTTCCACTCCACCCAGGGGTAATTCACACCATTCTGTGAATCCCTCATCCGTGACTTCTGGAGCCATTTCTTCAGCTCCGTGACTACTGCCCCCCACCCCCATTCTTCTGATACCTCCTTTCTCCTGCTCCCCACCACTGGGTTTCTCAGACCTCCCCACCCCCTGACTTGCCCACCCTTGGCTCTTCTCCAGCCTTACACTCTGGGTAGACCTGTCCGCCCCCTGAACGGAGTAGGAACCTGGGCGCGCTCCCCTGGCTTTCTCACCTGATGTTACCTCCCTTTTCTCTTCTTGAAGTAGGGATGCCCCAGTCCTGTCCCTCCCTTTCCTCTCTTCCTGCCCATTCTTCCCACTCCCTTCTGGGAACTCAACTGTTTACTCAACTCCTTGCGAAACTTGAAACCCAGGAGGCCTTTTCTCCCTTTTTGTGGTCACCAACTGCCAGGAAGAGGAATAAAGCCACCTTGAAACCTGGAGGATGTGGGGTAACAGGCAGCGGCTGGCAGAGGGGCGCCGGCAGGGTGGCCCTGCCGACTTTCACTGCTGCTGGTGTCTGCTCTGGTGCCAGGCGTGGCCCGCCTTGCCCAGGCCTGGGTGCCGCCTGGCCTGGCTCACCTGCGTCGCTCCTCTAGGTGGGAGACGCCATCCCGTCGGTGGTGGTGTTTGAGAAGGAGCCTGGGAACAAGGTGGACCTGGCAGAGCTGTTCAAGGGCAAGAAGGGGGTGCTGTTTGGAGTCCCCGGGGCCTTTACTCCTGGCTGTTCCAAGGTGAGCCCTACCCGTTGGCACTCAGCACTTGGACAGTGGGTCCGTGTTGTCCGTCGGCCTCCCTGTGGCCGTGGTGCTGAGGCGCCAGCAGTGACAGTGTTGGTCATGTGACAGTAACCAAAGCAAATCCGAGAATCCCTGGAGGGGTAGGCAGTTGTACCAGGAACAGGAGAAGGGGGACCCACCCTTTGGTGCCGGGCAGGGCAGGAAGGACGGGTCAAGCAAGCAGACCATGGGAGGCCTGTGGTCTTGACCACAGGGCCCTTCCACACGCATCTGGACTTCCTAGTGAAGGGGCAAAAGGGCAAGTAGAATAACTGGTGTGAGGGTGCTGGAGGGGGGGCAGGGCGAGCTGCTCGGCCGCCATCCTCTCAGCTTCTGTCTCCCCTGCTCAGACACACCTGCCAGGGTTTGTGGAGCAGGCTGGGGCTCTGAAGGCCAAGGGTGTCCAGGTGGTGGCCTGTCTGAGTGTTAATGATGTCTTTGTGACTGAGGAATGGGGACGAGCCCACAAGGCGGAAGGCAAGGTGAGGTGTGGGTCCTGGTGGGGGGGGGGGGCTGGGGGCCGCCCAGGAGGCCTCTCCTGTGACCTTTACTCTCTCCTCAGGTGCGGCTCCTGGCTGACCCGACGGGGGCCTTTGGGAAGGTGAGCGCAGCCCTCTCCCTGCCAACACACCGGTGGTTACTGCGCTGGAGCAGGGCCTTGGAGGCTTGGCCAGTCGGGGGGCGGCAGGGGCTCGTCTCCTTCTGGTCCCCTTCCTACCCATTCCTCTGCTCTCCTCTTAGGCCACTGACTTGTTACTCGATGATGCTTTGGTGCCCCTCTTTGGGAATCAGCGGCTGAAGAGGTAGACGTGGGAGGGTCTTCCCCTGCAGTCCCCAGCCCTGGCTGCCTGGCTGCTCCTGACCACTCCCCCTTTCTGGCAGGTTCTCCATGTTGATAGACAATGGCGTGGTGAAGTCCTTGAACGTGGAGCCTGACGGCACCGGCCTCACCTGCAGCCTGGCCCCCAACATCCTCTCCCAACTCTGAGCCCCATGCCCGGACAGGCTCCTGCTACCTGCTCCTAGTCTGCCTGCCCAGCCAGGCACAGGCCCCAGCACTGCCTTGGTGGCGCCACAGTTGAAATCTCGGCTAGATTTCCACAATAAATATTCTAGATAACATCTGCCTCCTCCTTGGGATTATGGCTTTGCTAGGGGCCAGGCCTCAGGGCAGGTACAGACAGCTGCCACCTGAAGCATCTGGGCAGGGCTGAAAGGACCTTGGTTTAATTAAGGGGCGGTCAGGGAAGGTCTTTGGAAGGAGGCGTTAGGCAGCATGTCAGCCTGCAGGCTGAGGAAGGTCAGTGTTCTGGGGAGCCAGGGAAGGAACAGTGGTGCAGAGCGAGCCCTGTGGAAGGGACCAAGGCAGATAAAAGCTGGGCTTGCTCTCATACCCTGAATTGCTCTGTGGGGACCTGTGGGTCTCTTAGATCGTACACCCCAGGGCAGGGACTTAGGGTCCAGGCATCCCTTACCCAGGTTGGGCTCCCGCCTCGTGGCTCGCTTAGACGCTCCAGAAGCACACCTGTTCCAGCACGGGCTCTGGCGTTAGTGGAGGCGGTGCTGGTTCAGTCCAGGAGGGCGCCCTGGGAGAGGAGTCTACTGGGGTCAGAGGGCTTGAGGCCATGTTTGTTGAGAGCAGGCAGCTAGAGTGGTCAGTAGGCCCCTGCTGGTTCCAGAGCTCCCATGGGAGGGCAGACAGTACCCTCCTCTGCCCCCGTTCTGAGCTGCCCCTGCTGCTCCTGCACAGCCACTTGAGAGGAATTTAGGAGTGGGGCCCCAGGGCAGGTCGGGGGTTAGGCCTAGCCTAGAGCCTTGCCTAGCCACCTGCAGGGCTGAGCCCCTGGGCCACCCTCTGAGAGGTCATAGAGGAGGTCACAACCCTGAGGCAGTGGGACCTGGTGGCCAAAGGTTTGGAGGGTGGAGGAGCCCCAGGCTGCAGCAGTGGAGAGTTGGGGGCATGGGGAGAGGAGGCCCCAGTGAGCACCCTGTCACTACGCCAGCACCTCAGGCCACTGAAGGGGTTCCGCCTGCACTGCTTGTGCAGGGGAGCTGGATCGGGGTACAACTAGGGAGAGGCAGCTGGTGGGCAGCTTGGGGAGTGGTTGACCAGTAATGTCTAGGCGATGGGGATGTGTGGGTGGGGGCGGGTGGTTGGGGTGGTGTCCAGGGGGTGGGGTGCTCGGCAGGGGCCAGCCTTCCTTTTGCCACCATCCTTCACCCCTTCAGTTCTGTCCCACAACTTGCTACCCCGCGGGTCCTGGACTGGGGCAAACAGGGCCCCCAGCTCCTGTCACTGCTCTGCTCACAGCCGGGCTCTCAGAGCCTTGTGCCTGCACTGGTAGGTGGCTGGTGTGCAGCCCCCTTGGGCTGGCACCGATACTTCACCACAGACCTTCGTCCCGCTCACTATCAGGACCAGCGCAGTCTCCCTTCCTGCCCTCCATGGCCTGTTTCCTCCAATCCGCCGCTTATCTGGGCCTGCTGAGGCCCTGCGAGGCTTCTGAGAGGAAGCCTTTTGCAGCAACATGGATGGAGCTGGAGGGGATCGTGCTTGGTGAAATAAGCCAGCAAGAAAAGGAACAATACCGGATGGTTTCACTCATATTAGGAGCATAGAGGACCAGGGGAGAAAATAATAATAATAATGAACAGCCATATACCAGAGACATTTTATTGGGGTGGAGTGGGGAATGGGGTCAAAAATCAGGGGGGGAGAGGGAAGTGCACGGGACTATGGTGATGGCACATGGGTGATCTGGTGATGGGAAACCCTCGGGGATGACAACTGAGATGGAAAAAGGCACAAAATGAGGTAAAAATAAACTTATATTATTTAAAAAAAAATTACAAGTACACAGTAAAACCTTACTGCGATCCAGATGTCTGATAAATATGTAAAAAGAGGATCAGGTGCTGAGGGAGAAGGGCTGTTGGGTGGACCACAGCAGTGGCAGCCACGCGGCCGTTGCCTCTGAGCAAAGAAAACTTCGGGGCTCCGTGGACCCCCGAGGGGCCATGTCACTTCCTGCCGCCCCCACCAACCGTGGCAGAGGCTCACCGCGGCTGTCTCACATCCCGGTGCGGGGACCCCTCAGTCCCTGCCACCTTGGTCTCCACAGTTCTAGTCACTGGTCCCTTCCCTGGGGGGATCCTCCGAGCTTCTCCCTCTTGCGCCCCAGCCCCTCTCGCCTCCAAGCCTGCGGATGGGCTCGGTCGCTGAGGAAGCCTCCTGTCCTGACCCTCCCTGACGGGTCCGTGAACCCCACCCTCCGCGTCATCAAAGGAGACTCTCAGACACGTAATTCCCACATCATATAACACACCCCTTAAAACTGTGCGTCTCAGTGGTTTTCAGTCTCCTCCCCAAGCTGAACAGCCATCACCACCATGAAGAAGGGCTTCACCCCAGTGGCGTCTCCCAGACAATGCTGCGTGTCTCTCTCGCCTCAGCGAGAGGGTGCCCGCCGGCTTTCTGGGGTCAGGGCTTTCGGGTTCACCCTCGCTGCCTTTCTTACCCTGGGCTCTCTGAGCCTCACTGTCCTGATTTCTGAACGAGGAATTCTTGCATCAGAAACATCAGTTTGGCTTCTGTCTCTTGGCCTGTCCCTCCTGGCTGTGTGACCTGAAGCAAGTGACCTGACTCCTGGTTTCCCTCATAAAGGGGGGGGATCACAGTGGCCGTGGCGGAGACTGAGCGAGGAAGACGCGTGGCGAGAAGCACCGACCGCACCGGGGAGCGGGCAGTGGGTGTGGGCGCACTGCGGGCTTTCTGGGGTCCTTGTGGGGTCCATACTGTGCTGCAGCCGTGGACACTCCATGACACCCCATGGTGTGAACCCTCTTGAGGGGGGCAGAGCAAGCCAGGGGGTTGCTGAGTGGATCAAGGCTGAGGGAACAGGTGGGTCTAACTTTCCGAAGGGAAGGTCTTTAGAAAGGGGCCCGGAGCTAGGCCAGCAGTGAGGAGGTGGGGCGGGAGGGGCCGGGGCAGTGGAGCAGGAGGAGTCCTGAGCCAGTTAGGACGTCCGGTGTGCCTTCCAGTGTTGGGGGGTTGCCTGGTGGAGGCTGGGGGCTGAGAGCCTCCGGGGGAGGTAGATAGAGCAGGTCCCCCAGGAGCTGGGGTGGTGCTGGGGTGCAGGCCAAGTGTCAGGTCTGGAGGCTGGGCTTGCAGGCCGCACTGGGCTTGCAGGCCACACTGGGCTTGCAGGCCACACTGGGCTTGCAGGCCAGGCCACACCCGGCCTCCAGGCGCCAGGTGTGCTGGGCTGAGGGCCCGCCCGCCTTCCAGGCCTCCTCCCTCTCACTCGCCAGAGTTTCTGCCCTTCTCGGACTCTGGCTCCACTGTTTCCACTCCCATGGCGACTGGGCATTTGAGTGGGGAGGAGGGGGTCTCTTAGACCAGGGGCCAGGTCCCCAGAGGGCCTGCGAACTTTGTGTTCTTGCTTTGTGTTCTTGAGCCTGGGCCCTGAACCACCTGGTGAGGGAGCTGGGCCCCGGCCAGCTGCTGGCGTGTCAGGCAGGGAGAAAGAAGCACTCTCTGACCGGTTTGGTCTGGACTCTGGCTGCGGCCTGTCTGGGCCCTACCAGGCCTCAGCTTCCCGGCCCGAGCCCTCCTGCCCTGGCCTTGGGGTTAGACCTGGGCAATCCAGAAAATTCAAAACCAGAAGGGAATTGAGAGGTGGGGTCTTCCCACTCCAATCTGTGCAGTTGGGAATCTGAACCCCAAGAGAGGAGACTGCGGGCAGGTAACACTGTTGGCTCTGCTGTCCGCCTGTCCATCTCTCTCCTCTGTCCTGGGTCACCACGCTCATAGCAGTGGGCACGGAACTTCACTAAAAAGTGCCAGAAGAAAGGGCAGAATGTAAAAATTTATGATATTTATCCACCGGACAATTTGCTGTTTATTGATTTAAGCTTAAAATTATGAAAATAACATGTGGCCTCCCTGGTGGCCCAAGGGGTCCAAGTCCCAGCACTATCAAGGCATCACCACCACTGCAGCACGCGTTCGATCCCCGGGCAGGGAGTGACCCCCAGGGCACAGCAGACCTCTGCTGTCCTGCCCGCTGCTCCCCTCAGCAGTGGATTTCAGTAGATCTGCCTGCCTGTTCTGCTCCCCACTCTGTCTCTGGGGAGTCCTCTCACCCCCACACCTCCGGTCCCTTTCACCCCTTTGGCCCTTTCTCCCTTCCTCTCCTTAACCGCAGAAACCTCACTTCATGTATGACTGCTTGTTTATACTTATTTTGCTTTGTCAATCCATCTGCTGTGATTCTTTGTTTTACTTATGTAACCATTCCCTGTTTGTCTTTATCTTTCTGACTCCAGGGAATTTCCTTGACTTGCTTCTATTTTGTTGTAAATAGTGACATTTTGCCTTTCCTTAGTGTTCCATTGTACATGAGACAATGAAATGATGACAGGATAACAACAGGGTGAAATATTACACAGCCAGTAAAAAGGCCACGGCCAAGAGTCTTGGACAGAAATGAAGCAAATTGCAAAATATATTGGGAAGCAGGGAGGTATCCAGTGTGTGTGAGGTTGCAACCTCATGGATAGCTGTTTCTCAGGAAGGACACAGGCCATGCTGAGGGGCATGGAGTCTGGGTGTTGGGAGAAAGGAGGGGAACCTCGACTTTCCCCCTCTATACCCTTATGTATTCTTGATATTTTTGTTCCTGTATCTGAAAACATTTTAAAGAAAATCTAGTCAAAGGAAGTAGTCACTGTCAGCCTCTGGTGATCACCCCCCCATTCACAGCTAATGATGAGAGAGGCACCCCACTTCTACTCCTGCACCCCAACCCCCCACCTGACTCAGCTGAGAAACAGGCAGGGGTGCAGCCGCCCATGTCCACAGGGGCAGAAGTGAGAGCAGGGCCGCCCCTGTCCCTGGCTCTGGGCTGGCGGGGTGGTGCAGAGATGTGAGCAAGGCAGGCGTCTGGGCCACTAGGAGATGACAGTCACAGCAGGGGCGCCCGGGGGAGTTCTGGGACTGGGATCCTTGGGGGACGCAAAGAGGGGTGTGACTGCAGAGGGTCTGTCTGGCAGGACCCCTGATGTTATTAAGACCCCAGGGTGGCACCAGCTTGTGGACTTACAGCCCCCTGGGAGGTTAGTCGATGCACCCCAGAGGGTTGAACGACAGTCACACAGGCTCTTCTGCAGCCCCCCAGCCCGGGATGGCCATGCCTGGTGGGCCTCACTCTCCTCGGCGTGCGCGCCTGCTCGGTGTGCTCCGGCCCCCCCACAGCCTTCTTGCAGTTGGTTTGGCCACGAGGAGCTGTGTGACCTTGGGCGAGTTACTTAACCTCTCTGAGCCTGTTTCCTCCTTAGAGATCATACATCCTCCTTATTTCATAGACTTCTCCAGAACAAATAAGTCCCTAAGTGTGAAGTGCTTGTAACTAGTTCTGGCTCGTGCTGTGTCTGGCTCGGCCATGATGCTGTTCTTATTACCCCATATTTCATCAAATCTACGATGTCATGGGTTGTAAAAGATGACACCAAGGGGGAACAAAAAGAATGCTGCCAGTTAACGATGCCCCCAGGCTCTGCCACCACTGAACCTTTACTTTATACTTCCCGGAGGAACTCTTTTTGACTTAGACATAGATTCTCCTCGTATGTAATTCTCATGCATACATAAAAAGGGAAAGAGAAGTAGAATAAATTGTTGATGGTGTTGGGAATGCGCTTTTAGAGCCTGACGGAGCAGCATTGCTTTGGGTGTTACTGTGGCCCACCCCGCCCCAACCTTCCTCCCCCACTCACTGGACAGCCCACAGCCCAGTGGCTTGGGGGCTCCTCTTCAAGCAGCGTTGCAGTTCTGCAATGCAAGCCAACTTTGGGCTTCTGCTCTGGGTTGTGGCTGACACACTCCTGGTTCCCCCAGGGCTTTGGGTTTCTGCTTTTGCCTCTGGTTTTTTTTTTTTCTTTTTAAAAAAGATTTATTTATTTATGCACAAAGAACTGGGGTACAGGCTAGAGGTGCAAGGGTGGTGAAAGGATTCACCAGAGACAGAGTGGGGAGCAGAACAGGCAGATCATCAAAGTACGTTGCTGAGGGGGCAGCGGGGAGACAGGAGAGGTCTGCTGCGCCCTGGGGGTCCCTCCCTGGCGGGGATCAAACTCGTGAAGCAGCTGCTTCTAGCATCGTAGTACTGCGCTTTAACCTGTGCGCACCAGAGAGGCCTGAGACAAACAGTTCTGATATCTGGGCTTTTCCCTAAGCCTCTGCTTCCTGGCTGCAGCGTTTGATGGTTTGAAGTGCGGCCAATGGCCCTAGATCGAAAGGGCAGAAAGTCAGAAAACCACTCTGCCAGGCTCCCTGACCGCGGGATTTCAGTGCCCTGGAGTCGCAGGTCGATCTTTCAGCTGCCAGCGCCCTGGCACTGCTGTGCCTGTGCCCGGAAGGCCCTGCTTCCTCCCGCTTTGCCCAGTTAGCCCAAGCCCCCTGACCTCAGCTTTCCCCAGAGCCCCTCCAGCCTGCCTTCCCTGGGTGCCGCCCACCGCGGTTGAAGCCCTTCCCTGTTGCGCAGGGCGAGCGGCGCTGCCGAGTATCTGTCTCTTGGGACGGGGCGCTGCGGCTGCATACCCATCCTGGTGCCCGGCCACCCAGCTCCGGGGGTGCTCTCTCAGCCCATCGTGCACGCAGGGTGAGAGAAGGGTGCTCGCTCTGACTGCGATGCCATGTGGAGGCAGCTTGCAGGAGGAGGCAGGATCTGGCCTAGGCTTCAGAGGTCGGGGATGGTTTGGTAAAGTCCTAGTGTCGAGGGAAGAGCAGGCGGGTCAAGGAGAAGAGCAGGCGGCTGTCTGACTCCTGTGAGGGGGCAGAGCCCTGTGGGTGCAAAACCAAGGTCATCCCCCTGGTTTGGAGTTGGGAAAACGAGGCCCCAAGGGTGGAGGTCTCATCCAGCCTAGTCCACCAAGCCAGGGGTGCTATGGGCCTTGCCCCAGGGGGCCCTGACCGCACTGCCCCTGCAAACCTCTGGGCTGGCCCAGCTGGTGGTACTGGGAGGATGCGGGGTTGCAAGGTAGGGGCTGACAGGACTTAGGGGCACTTAGCTCCCCAGCACCCGGAAGGAGGAAGCACACGGGGTGTCTGTGGCTGGGCCCGGGATCCCCCACTGGGACTTCCTCTTCCTCTCAGGCAGGTGTAGCTGCCGCAGCGGGACCAGCACCCTGACCCCGTCATGGATGGGGGCAACGGACCCAGACTCAGAGACTTCCTGAATGGGAGCCTGGCCACCTGGGTGAGGGGGGGCAGAGGGGGGTGAGCTGCTCACATGGGTGAGGAGGGAGGGGGCAGAGGGGGGTGAGCTGCTCAGATGGGGAAGGAGGGACAGAGCTGGGGCCTGAGGGGAGGGGAGGGCCCCGTGTGGGGTTGGGAGTCTGTGGGGCAGGAAAAGGGGCCCAGGTCTGGGGGTGTGGGCGTTCTGGGCCCTGGTGAGGAGGGGCTGTGGGCTGGGGGCAGGATTCATTCTCTCGGCGTGGGCTTCCACCCCGGTTCCCCGTGTCTCTGCTCCACAGGCCTTGGGACTGGCTGCACTGGTGGGGGAGGCCGAGGAGCCAGAGGAGCGAGAGGAGGATGAAGAGGAGACAGGAGGGGGGCCCCTGTGCCCCCCTGAGAAGAGCTTCTTGCGTCTCAGCGACGGGGCTCTGCTCCTTCGGGTGCTGGGCATCATGTCAGTGTCGCTAGGGGGCGCTCTGAGGGTGGAGGATGGGGTCAGAGGGGAGTGAGGGCCCCCCCACCTGTGGGAGGTGCCCGAGGTGGCCGGAGGAGCTTGGCTGAGGGTAGGTGGCCCTCCACTGCCCTACCTATGACCCCCTATTCCCACAGCGCCCCCAGTTCCCGAGGGGGACGGCAGATGGTCAGGGGCCGTGAGGCTTCTGCAGCCCGGCGGGTGCAGAATCTGAACCACCTGTGGTGCCGTCTAAGGGACTTCTACCAGGTAAGGCGCTGGGGGACGCTGAGTGGAGGAGACCCTGGAGGGAAGGCCCCTCTCATCACGTCCCCCCTGCGTCCCCAGGAGGAGCTGGAGCTGCTGATTCTGCTGCCACCCCCGGACCTCCAGACGCTGGGCTCGGACCCCTTCTCAGGTGCCCTTTCCCGCCGCCCCGCCCTCCTCCTGCCCCGCCCCCAGCCCTTACCGCCTGTGCCATTTGTCCGCAGAGGAGGCCGTGGAGGCCCTGGAAGGCATCCTGCAGCTGCTACTGGGGGCCTCAGTGCAGGTGATGGGGCGCTGGGGGCAGGGAAGCTGGCTTTGGCTGCAGAGGGGGGACCCCGGCCCCAGCGCCCTCCCGCGTCTCCCCGCAGTGCGAGCACCGCGAGCTCTTCATCCGGCACATCCAGGGCCTCAGCCTGGAGGTTCAGAGCGAGCTGGCTGCCGCCATCCAGCAGGTACTCGGGCTCCCTGACCCGGGGCCACCGCCGCGGGGACACCCTGCCCCCCTCACTGCCCCCCCCTTCCCTGAACTGCTCTCTGTCTCCCCACCCCCAGGTGACCCAGCCAGGGGCAGGTTGGGCGCTGGCGCTGGCTGGGCCAGAGCCGGGGGAACTGACCGCTGCGGAGCTGGAAATGCTGTCCCGGAGCCTGATGGGGTCGCTGCTGAGGCTGGCCCGGGAGCGTGACCTGGGGGCCCAGGTAGGGTGGGGCTTGCGGACCCAGGCGGGTGTGCAAGGGCCGCGGGCCCTACATGTGTGTGGGTTGGGGTCCCGGCGGGCAGCCCTAGGCCCGCAGGACCGGAACAGCCAGTCACCTTGTGGGGGGGCAGACTTTGGGGTTGGGGGCAGGTTACTCCTGACCCCTGACCCTTGATGCCTGGCAGCGGCTGGCTGAACTGCTGGTGGAACGAGACTCAGCTCCCCTGTTGCCTGAAGCTCCTGCCAGGACGCCCCCTGAGGGACCCCCGAGTCATCTGACTCTGCAGCTGGCCAATGCCAAGGCCCAGTTGCGGCGCCTGCGGCTGGAGCTGTAAGTGCCCCAGAGGGGGTGGGGGACCCCGACCTGATGGGTCTGCGGAGGCCTTGCAAGGGTGTGCCCAGTTCCTTCCAGCGTCCCTTGCTTGCAGGGAGGAGAAGGCGGAGTTGCTGCTGGACTCCCAGGCGGAGGTGCAGGGCTTGGAGGCTGAGATCCGGAGGCTGCGCCAGGAGGTGCGGGCGGCCCTGCGGCCCTGCGGGGGCGCCTCTGACCCTGTGCAAGGGCCCTGCTACCGCCCTGCCGGACCGGACACCCTCGGAGCCCAGCCAGCCCTCCCCAGCTCTGCGTTTTCTGGCCCAGACCCAGGCGCTGTGCGGACAGGCCAAGCGGGCCGCGCTGTACCGCGAGGAGGCCGAGGCGCTGCGGGAGCGCGCAGGCCGCCTGCCCCGTCTGCAGGAGGAGCTGAGGCGCTGTCGGGAGCGGCTGCAAGCGGCGGAGGCCTGCCAGGGCCAGCTGCAGGTGAGGGAGGCGCCCGCCCGGGGAGGGTGAAAGTGGCCTGGAGAAGAGAGGGTCTTGGGGAGGACGGTCACTGCTAGAAATGGGCGGGGCGCTACCTGGGGCGGGGCCCTCTGCAGGACCGGCAGGGAGGGGAGAGGAGGAAACGGAGGTCCCGGGTGGGGCCCCTCCGAGGGTGGGCTGGGGAGCCGGTGCACGGCCTGCAGTACTCGGAGGGACCTGGGTCCGCCTTGGCAGGGTTCGCGGGGCGGGAGAGGCGCGCATCTCGGGCACTCTGCTCCCCCACCAGGAGGAGCGCGTGCTCTCAGGGGCCTTGGAGGCCTCGAAGGCCCTGCTGGAGGAGCAGCTGGAGGCCGCCCAGGAGCGCTGTGCTCGGCTGCACGAGACCCAGCGTGAGAACCTGCTACTGCGGACTCGACTAGGCGAGGCCCATGCGGTGAGGTCGCCAGAGTGACCGCAGCTGGGGCTCTGTTCGTCCGGTGACCCCGGTGGTCCCCAGCTTCCCTGGTGGCCCTGGGACCGCTTCCCCCCCCCCCCCCCCGCAGCCTCTCGAGGTCCGCTAGCTGGGCGCTGGGAGGCCCGTCTGACCCTGCCTCCCCCAGGAGCTGGCCTCTCTGCGGCATCAAGTGGACCAACTGGCCGAGGAGAATGTGGAGCTGGAGCTGGAGCTTCAGCGTGGCCTGGAGCCACCCCCGGGCTCTCCTGGGGAGGGTGCGTGGAGGGGCGGGAAGCGGGGTGGAGGGGCTGCCTTGCTTTCCTGCAGCTGCAGTGGCCCTGGCTTCATCCCCTTCCCAGATCGGGGTGGGGTGGCTGTTTTTCTGAGGAGCTAAGGAGCCTGCTGGGCTAAGAGTGAGTAGGGGTCCTGACCTCATCTCCTCCTCCCCAGCCCCCATGCCAGACGCTGCCCCCTCCCTGCATGATGAAGTAAGGGAGGCAGAGGCTGGGCGTCTGCGCACCCTGGAACTGGAGAATCAGGAGCTCCGAGGCCTGTTACAGGTGCTGCAGGGGCAGCCCGCTGGCCAGGTGAGACCCAGCCCTGCCCCCAGCGGGTCTTTGCTGGTCACCTGGGGGCTGGGCTTGACCAGGTTTCTCATGTGCCCTCAGCGCCCCCTGCTGGAGGAGCAGAGCGAGGACCCGGAGGCTTCAGAGCAGGATGCGGCGGCCCAGCCCTGCCCGGAGGACCACCATGCCCCCCAGGGCTTGGTGGGTCAGACTGGGGTTGAAGGCCCCCCGGTCTTGGACCTGGCTCTCCCATCACCTGGCTCAGCTCTCGAGGGGTTCGCTGAGAGTTCCCAGGCACCTGATTCAGACCCACAGATGCTGGAGGAGCCCCTCCAGAGGGCTGCCATGGCCCCCCAGGCCTCAGATTTAACACCCCTGGAATCAGGCCCCGCTGTGGGGACACAGGAGCACCCGCAGACAGCTGGCCATGGACCCCATCTCCAGACCCCTGCCTCCACGGCTCCACAGGGTCCAGAGATCAAAATCCAAGCCCTGGTATTGCCAGGAGAGACAGGGGAGTCTGTGCCCGGGGCTCAGCGGCTGAGCGGGGACGGCCCTGTGCACAAGCTGGGCCCCTCGGAGCTCAGCATCCATGAGGAGCTGGAGGGGCAGGACACCCCCGGCCAGGGGCTGGACCTACACAAGGCACAAGCAGAGGCCAGAGGGCATGCGCAGAGGCCAGAGGAGGTGGTCGGGGACTCAGTCCAGCAGAACCCGCAGCTGACATCCGAAGGGGCTCCTGACACCGGGGCCTGGGAGGGGCTGGCCCCAGGGGTGGCCTGCGGGAGCCCGGTCCCAGCACAGGCACCCCTCACGGAGGAGGTGGCACAGCTGAGGAGAGAGGCCGAAGTCCTCCGCGCTGAGCTGGAGGCCCAGGCCCGGAGGCTGGAGGCCCGCGGCTCAGAGGCTGCCCGCCTCTCCGAGGACCTGGCCCAGGCGCGGAAGGCAGAGGCCGAGGCCCAGCAGGAGGCAGAGGCCCGAGCTGGGGAGCTAGCTCGGCTGAGGGAGGCGGTAGAGGCAGCTGGCCGCGAGCTGGAGGCCGCCTCCCGCGAGCGGGAGGCCTTAGCAGAGGCGCTGACCGCCTCGGGCCGAGAGCGCAGGCAGTGGGAGCGGGAGGGGCCCAGGCTGCGGGCCAGGGCCGAGCTGGCCGAGGGGCAGCTGCACGTGCTGGAGAGCGAGAGCCGCCAACGCCAGGAGGAGGTGGAGCAGGCGCGCCAGGAGGGCCGGGCCCTCAAGGAGGTAAGTCGAGGCTCACCGCCGGCGCCTGGAGGAGGGGTTCCAGGCCAGTGAATGGGGGCTGTTCCTTCCATCGGCAGCCACCAGTGCCCAGCACCGCGCTGGGGCTGGAGACAGAAAGACTCAGTCCGCTGCTACCTCCCAAAGGCCGAAGGGCCTGGGACACCTCTGGTGGGGCTGTGCTGGTGGGGAGATCGCAGGGCGCACTGCAGTTGGGTGCCAGCTCTCTGAGCCTGGCAATGCACCTACCTCCACCCCAATCGGGTGCTTCCTAGCTGCCTCAGTGGGTCTGTTGGCTCAGGGAGATAATGGCTCTATCTTTGAATAAGACATTTTATCTGTGTTATCCTTGAGACGTATTGTCTATAAGAGCAAAATGCTGAGGGGCCCTGAAGGAGGGGCTGATGCCAGTGCGGGACAAGGAGCTTTCAGGAAAGGTCCTGAAGAATGAGCAAGATTTCAGGAGGTGGGGAAGGACATTTCAGCCAGAGGGAGCAGAATGTGAAAAAACTTGAGGTTGTTCAGGATGCTCAGAGGCTGGGGGTAGGCAGTGGGGGCCTGGGAGCCAGAGACGTGTATTGGGCTGGCTCTGGAGGTGCAGGGAAGGCCCCCGAGAGTGTGGGCAGACCGTGCGAGGGGCACTGGGGAGGTCCCCTTGGTGCGGAGGGCCCTGGGGCTGCTGGAGGCTGTCAGTAGTCCGGGTGGCAGCTGGGGCTGGCTGGGTGGGGCCGGAGGAGAGGGAGGGCCTGGAGGAGGACCTTAAGCATGGTCCTGGGCCTCTCCCTGGTCCAGGCCCGGATGCGGGCTCATAGCTTGGGTGGCGACAGGATGGTGCAGGGAGTCGTGGGGTCAAGGAAGTACACTGGCTCAGGTTGGGGCGTGTTCTGGAAGGCTTCCTGGAGGAGGAGTGCTGACCGTGTAGCCCAGGAAAGTGTGTGGGGGGACGGAGGGGGCGCATGGAGGAAGGTGAGCTAGGGGCCCGCTGAGCCGGGCTCTCATCGCAGAGGGAGCTTCCTTCCAAGATGGGGAAGACTTCTGCTTTCATGAGGCCTCAGGAGCCGCGAGAGGGCTTAAGGGGCGCAGAGTGGTCAGGGCCAGAGTGGTCAAAGGCGGGTTGAGCGGCCTCAGCGGGCGTGGACATCCGAGGTGGGAGCGGCTGGGGCCGGAGCCCACTGTCTCAGCTCCAGCAGCCTCCTGTGTCAGAGGAGAGATTCATTTATTGGGGATCATTTGTTGGAGGTGATTTGTTGGAAGACCCTTCCGGAGGGAGAGGAGTGGGATTCTGGGCTGACAAGGGGTTAGGCATTGTGCACCCGGGCCTGGGGCACGTGAGAATTGGGGCTGCGGGCAAGAGGGAAAGGCCAAGACATGGACTGGGGCCACCAGAGGAGGGGACAGGAGCGCTGCCAGGTGGCCTGAGCTAAGTCCCAGGTCCCCTACTTACCTGCGTGGCCTGGCGCAAGTTACCTAACCGCCTTGAGTCTCGGTGTCCTCACCTGGAAAGCAGGAGTTGGAACTACCTGACTCACGGGCTCCTGAGGTAATGAAGTTCGAGAGCTTGGCGGGCCAGGGAGTGTGGGCTTGTCCGTGGAGAGGAAGCCCGCAGGCGGCCCGTGAAGGCGAGGGGAGGGCAGGCTGACGGGAAGAGCCGGCTCTGGCGACCAGGTGGGTGGAAGAGGCTGAGAATAACGAGGGGAATTTCGGTATATTTCCTGGTTGAGCCACGGACAACTGGGTGTGGCCAGGGGCAGCCAGACAGCCCGGCACAGAGGGCAGAGGGCCAGCCCGGGGGGCCTCCTGGGCTGCAGAGCCGGAGTGTCACTGAGGGGCACTGGCCTGGGGCAGGGCAGGGGTATGGCCGTCATCTGCACATCGCCTTACCCTCAGCCCTCGGGCTGCTAGGGCTGTGGCTGGTGGCAGCAAAGCCTCATGGGATTTGTAGGTTTTCAGGGAGAGGCAGCGGCTAAGGGTGTCTGGAAGTGCAGTGGCCCCAGTGAGGGGTGCTGGGGGGAGGCTGACTGCGGCTGCCAAGCCAGGAAGAGTAGGGCAGAGGGGTGGACGTGGTCTGAGGCAGGCCTCTGCAGGCCCCTCCCCAAGGCTTCATCCTGCCTGCCCCCCCACGGCGTCAGAATGGTTTACCCTCCCGCCCACATCTGCAGTGGTGTGGCCCAACTGCCACAGGACGCCTGGGGGAGCAGCCTGGCCACCCCTCCCCCACTGTGGTCAGGGCTGGCGGTCACCCAGTTCCTGCCCCTGTCACCATCCCGCTGTGGCTGAGGGCGCTGCTCCCCGAGGGGCCGCTTGCTCCCATGGCCCGGGCGGCCTCAGCACGTAGGGCGTGTCCAGCTGCTGCTGGACACATGAGGAACCATGGGCTCAGAGAGGTGAAGACACTGGCCCAGGGGCTTCCCTCCCCCCTGCAGGCTGACCATCCCAGCTCTGTCACACCCACTCTGCAAGGTGACCAGGCGCTGGACATTTTACACACGGGAGCAGGGCCCAGAGGCAGAGATGGGGCCAGGACGGCAGAGCCAGGGTAGAGTCAGGTCTCCGGGTCCAGACTCTGGACTCCGTGTCTGGCCCTCCCGCCCCTGGCCCAGCGTGGGCTGTGGCGGGTCCTGACCCTGCTCGTCCACCCTCAGGAGCTCGAGAAGGCCGTGCGGCAGGGCCAGGAGCTGGGCGTCCGGCTAGAGCGTCTGCAGGCAGAACTGGAACAGGCCGCTCTGGAGCGCCAGGAGTTTCTGCGGCAACAGGAGAGTCAGCATGAGAGGTGCAGGCAGTGCCCAGGGCAGAGATGGCAGGCAGGGGCTTCGGGGAGGTGTAGGTGCCAAGGATTCGCCTGACAGGTACCAGAGTCTGGAGCAGCGGTTGGAGGCTGAGCTGCGGGCAGCAGCGACCAGCAAGGAGGAGGCGCTCAGGGAACTCAAGAGTCGGGCCCTGCAGCTGGAGGAGGAGCTGCTGCAGGTGGGCGCCTGGGGGCGGCCTCCTCCCCACCGCGGACATCGGGGTGCATGCGCTCCTGTCCCTCCATGTCCCCTGCCCCTTGATTCTTGGGTGGTTGCTCACCTTGAGCCCCCAGGAGGGAGCCACACGGCCGTCACGAGCCTTGCCCCCCCCCTCAGGAGGACAGAACCTGGCTGCTCTGCTCACCTGTGACCACTGGTGCCCTGCCCCTTCCCAGTGGGCTCTCTGGTGTCATCATTTCTGGGCCTGGCGGGCCCAGTGCCCAGTGCGGGGGGGGGTGTCCTGTACCAGGCCATGGCCCCAGGGAGTCCGCCGTCCACCTGGGACGGAGGCGGGAGAGCAGGTGGCTGTAACAGGGGCGCCAGGGGGGCGCCCAGCAGATCCCCTGGGGGAGGTTTTCCAGAGAAAGGGGTGTGGAAATGCGCCCAGAGGAAGCGTAGGGTGCAAAGTGTGTGCACAGAGGCACTGCGGGCTGGGTGGGGGCTGCCTGGATGGGGGTGCGTGGGTGGCGATGAGCTGCCAAAGGGGCAAGCGGCCCCCTGTTTAGGTTCCCAAGCTGCCCCCACGCCCCCGTGTGACCTCCCAGAGTCTCCTTGCAGCTACGCCAGGGCCCCTCGGGGCTTGGCCAGGAGAAGCACGCTGAGCCCAAGTCCCTGGAGGCCCAGAGCGGGAGGCTCATCGAGGTGGAGCGCAACGTGAGTGATGGGCAGCGGTGGGCACCCGGCTGGCGGGTGGCCTGGCCACCGCTGACCCTCCTTACTTCTGGACAGAATGCAACTCTAGTGGCCGAGAAGGCGGCTCTGCAGGGGCAGTTGCAGCACCTGGAGGGGCAGCTGGGAAGCCTGCAGGGCCGCGCCCAGGAGCTGCTGCTGCAGAGTCAGCGGGCAC